TTTCCGTGGTCTGGGGAAAAACGAAGGGGCACCCTGCAGGTACCTGGACTTGGAAAGCCACTTAAAGAGACACCCCACCTCATCGCCCTGACATTCTGCCACCCTCCCCCTGCTTCCGTCTGTAACTCACCAGCAGTCTCCGGCCTCAGCTACTGGAGCCCCTGCGTCCCGGCCAGAGAGCAAAACCAAGTGAACAGGCGGCCAGGCAAGGGCGTGAGAACCGAAGAGCGCGCGCCGCCGCAGCGCGGACCCCAGCCCCCGGCCCGCTGGGGACGGTCAGGAGTCCCCTCCGCGGCTCCCAGTGCGCTCCAAGGGCTGGGGCGATCCTGGGTGGCCGCTGGTTTAAAGCGCGCAGTTTACAGACAGGGGCTACTGAGGCTACGACGGGTACTGGGAATTCCTGCCCCTCACCCCAGTCAGGGGCAGCAGCCTTTGCTTCCCTCAGGGAGTCCAGGGGCAGGGGATGGTCAACGGGAGGGACGCGTGGACACTCCCGCAGCTAATGACGCGGCCCAGGCTGGAAGGTCCCAGTTAGGAGGGGAGGGGTGTCTAAGTGACCAGAGAGGCTGGCGGAGAAAACTTATCCATTCCCGTGCCTGACTGGGAGACGCCGCCCACGCAGCCTAGGTTCCTCTCCCCCCCCCCCACTTCGCCGCTAACGGCGGAGGCCGGGGTGGCGGGACCGTGAAGGTCAAATCACCCAGACAGAACAATGAGCCTCCTGGGGTCTGGTGTGTTTAAGGAGAGGGCGAGCAGAGCCTGGGCTGGGGAGAGGCCAGAGACCTTTTGATGATCTTGACCAAATCCAAGCCTTAGTTTCCCCAGCTCACCTCTGAGGTGGCTCTCAAGATTGAGATTTGGGCCGCTAGCTGTCTTGCTTTGTCCTCTCAATGTGGTCCCCCACCAGCCACCCTCGTAGCCCCTCCCACCAGGCCCCACCCCTGAGCACCCACCCACCTTCTGCAACTGTCTGAGGCAGGGGGTTTTCCTCCTGGGAGCCTGGAGGTCTCTAAGAGCCTCCATCATTTTTCGTTGCTGTTGTTATTTTGGTAGTTTTTGTATTTTTTTTCCTCCCCTTTTCTTCCATATGTTCTAAAAATAGCCGTCCCCCTCTCGCTGGTCCCCCCAGCCCCGCAGCACGTCGTGAGCTGCCCCGCGCTCCCGCGGTGGCCGGGGATTCCTCAGATGGGCGGGGCTGGGATGCGCCGGCGACACGCGGACTGTGAGCAACCCTCCCACCGCGGAGCCGCGGGGAAGACCCGGAGAGGGAAGACAGAGAGCGGGACCTCGGGGTGTGCAGGACAGAGCTCGCAGGAGGGCGGCAGATACGTGGCGCCACAGGACACCTCCCCACGCGCTGTGTCCCGATGCAGAAAGTCGGGAAGCGGTGGGGACAAAGGATTCCATCGTTGTGGGGACCCTGAACCTGAGTGGAGTCCCCGAGTCACGGTTTGCCTACAATCCCTGCCTCATGACACACCTTGATGGCCCGGTGACAGGTCACATTCTCATCCCGCATACCTCCCTCTCTCTTCCGGCAAGCGAGAAGACCAACCTGAGTTCTCCCGAGCCCCACCCTGGCCAACCCCAGCGTCCCTCAGGACCGGTCCAGTCTCCGGACCCTTTTGCCAGCTCCGCCCTGTGACAACAGTTCGCACTCCTCTTCCACAGCCTCAAGGTGACCGTCCCCTGCCGGCGTCCGCACTGGCCACCTCGCCAGGATTTCACGTCCGTACAGTTCTCCGTTCCCAGGAGAAAAAGGAGCCAAAGGCCACTTGGCGAGCAGGAGCTGCATCTGGGGTGACCCACCCTCAAGAAATGAGGGGCTGTGCAGAGAGACACTTAGGAAGGGTCTTTGGACCCTGCCCGGAAGGTCCTACGTGCCTTCTGCAGGGCGTCCCCGAAACTTTAGGAACACAGTGGGGCTGCCCCGTCGCTGGGGACCTCGAGGACAAGGAGTGTTCAGGGTGTCGCTGGGGCCTGACCCTCCTTGCGGTTCACTTTCCCCACAAAGGAAGAATGAAAGGAAGCAAGCTTTGTGCTAAGGACAAAGGCAGCCGGGCGGCGGCCCACGAAGACTGAGTTCTCGCGCAGATGCGTCCACGTGATGTCTTGGGAAGCGCGCAGCCAGGGTCCTGGTCTTGGAGGACGCCAGAGGCGCTCACATTGAGGGCGCCACGCCTTTGCACGTTCTTGTACTCTGGGCTGGAGTTCAAGACCCGGGATGCGGACATGGAGGCGTGGAGGGGGTTATGGGAAGGGGTTGGGGGGTTGCGGGGAGACGGTAGGCACAAGGGGAAGGGGAGAAGATGGGGGTGGGGAGACTCTGGGAAGAAGACGCTGGGGAAGAGGTTGGGGGTGGGGAGCTGAGGAGCCAAATTATGGCTGCAGTTTCTGTGTCTGTGATCTATTTTTAATTTTTAGACAAGGCCTCTTGGAGCCCACGTTGGCCTCGAACTCCTAATTCTCCTGCCTCCAAGAAGTGCTGGGCTCACAGGTGTGCAGGGCCGCGAGTTTGGTAATTCCTGGGTCAGGCGGGGCGCTAGGACTAGGACGCCAGGCTCCGCTGCAGCACCGCGGGGGTCCCTTTGTCCCTGCCGCCTCGGCCGCGTCCTCACCTCGAGGGAAACCCCTGCTCCGGCGGCGCAAGTGCAATCCGCCCGACTTCCCCGTTCCTCTTACTCTGCAGCCCCCGCGCGGTTGCCATGGCGACCGCGAGGGCGGGAATGTGGGGAAGACCCCGCTGGCAACCCGCCCCCGCCGCCCTTGCGGGGAGCTCCACTCTGGTTCGAGCCGGTTTCCCCGGACCACGTGGGCATTGGGGCGGTGGGGGATTCCCCTAGTCCCCAGGGACTTGCAGCGACTGGCGCATGCGCGCGGGAAATGCAACCCCCCCTTCCCAGCACAGGGAAAGCCCAGGTGAAGAACAAACTACTCTGCGCATGCGCGCAACTCCCCTCTCACCCCCCCTCCCGGAGCCGGGGAGTTCCCTCTCCTAGTGCGCAGGCGCGGGCTGGGATCCCAGGCGAGGCGACTTTGCTACAGAACAAAGGCTGTAGCTTGGTGTTTCCGCACCTGTCTGTGTAATATTTATTTTGACACTGTTTCCCTGTATATGGCTCAACCTCGCTTTGGACTTACAGCAATTCTCCTGCCTCAGACTGGCGAGAGCCACCACACATGGCTCTGGTCCTTTCTATTCTCTCTGCAGGAACTCGCCTGCGTGGCTCCCCATGCTCTGCTGTGGACCCCACGCCCCTACTCCCTCTGCTGGCTTCTTCCTGTCACCAGGAGACCTAACTGGCCAGTGGGCGGTCCGTGGGGTCCATGAAAGCACGGGGCCCCAGCAGGAGGAAGGTCAACCTTGGCTAATCAGACCCTGTCAACGATTATGTGCCTAGTGTCTCGTCTGGACACGTGTCTGTACGTACATATGTGTGCGCACCACATTTGTATCTGGCCCGTGGCACTCCAGTGTGAGGCACCATGTGGCGCTGGGATCGAACCTGGGTCCTCTGCAAGAGCAATGAGTGCTCTTACCTACTAAGCCATCTATCCAGCTCTCTGAATAATTTTTTCTTTTTCTTTTTTTTTTGGAGAGGTGTCTGTAGTCCAGGTTGGCCTTGAACTCTGGAAATTCTGCTCCAGTCTCCCAAGAGCTGAAGCACCTGGAGCCAAAAGAATGGTGGGCTCCTCCACCTAGTGTTCGCGTCCCAGCAGCCGTCACTGGGTGAGGGGTGGGTAGCTCGGGAGTGCACTAGACACAGCTCAGGGGCGGAGTGAACGCCCAGCTGCTGAGTCGCTGCCACACCCCTTGCAAGGGGCCTTCCTATTCCTTCCCTTAACCCTCACCAGGCCCTTTCCAGAGATGCCAAGCATCCTCTAGTCCTGTTCTCGGGGTTCCAGGGTTGTGTCCCCACAACCCGCTTAGAACCGTGGAACCCAAACTGGCCTTGGCATCACCCCAGAGCAAGGATAGCCGTGAACTGCTGACTCTGCCGAGTGCTGAGATAGCAGGCAGGCACCCCGAGTAAGTACTGGGATGGCAAGCATGCACCCCCATATCTAGTTTAGGAATTTTCTCACTTCCCAGTTCTGAGGCCGGAGCCAAGTGCTGTCGGTCAGTCACATTCCTGACTCCTCTGGCCGCACTGATTTTACAGGGCTTACTGCCCCACTCTTCTAGGAACGTCCCCTGTAGGGGCAGCTAAGCCTGTGCACCGGTGGGTCCTTCTCTCACACTCTTCAAGGCCTAGTTCATGAGACTTACACTGGATCAAAACCAACCCCTTCGGCGCAGCCCTGGCCCTTTGGAACCTGGGAACACCTGCAGGGAGACCTGTTTTCCTCTTGGTACAAGAAACAGAGAGATCACAGGTCTTGAGAGGGACAGTTGCTATGTAGAGAGAATCCAAGAAAAAACGGACTGAGGAGACAGGCGGCAGATGATGACCTTGTGTGTGGCTGTCACCACTGTGGGACCTGATATCTGCCCTTGTGCCTTTGTTTCCCCAAGATGGCCATTTTAATGTTCTGGGGCCACTGGGGCCAGGAGTCCAGCAGCTCAGCGCCACTTCTTAGGCAGGCCGGAAGTTCTCTGCTCTCCAGTGAGTGCTCTTCACCGACCACACCCCCAGCGCACTTCCTGTCCAGCCTCTGCAGCAGGAACACGGCCAGGGTCTAGGAGCCCTCAGCACACTGGCAGGCAGTTTGCACTGCCTACACAGGTATGTGGGTCTCTCCGGGCCCTCTCTGATCCTCAGGGTCAATGCTAGAGCAGAGAAAGCAGTTCTGGGTTCACACCGCATGGTCAATGGTCCACCTGCCGTCCTCAGCCGGCCCAGCACCCTCATGTTCCTTGCCTCATACCTCAGCTCAGGGTGAGTACAGCCTCAGCCATCTCTGCAAACCTTGCCCCGTTGTGCGGGGGCCGGCAGGTTTGGACATGTCCATTACACCATGCCTCCCTCCAGCAGTCCCCACCAAACATGACATGTGTCTCAGGCAGCCTCGCCACAGCCTTTATTGGGCAGGTGCTCAGCCGGGCTCCATAGGGCGCACAGGAGCTGGGTGTTGCTCAGAGCGGGGACCCTCTGGATTGCTGAGGACAACTCATTGGCTCGGAACTCTCTGAATCCCCAGGCCTGGCTGGGGACGACTCATGCCTGGTCCTGTCACTTAGGTGCATTGAAAGGCAGCGCACGCTGGTTCATAGGGTTGTCTGGTGAGCGCAACCACTCCTTCTTCAGCAGCTGCTTCAGCTGTGACAGCCGCATGTTGGGGTTCTCCTGCTTCAGTCTCGGCAGCTGTACCTCCTCGAACGCAGTGAAGGCCGCACGCATACGGCGCTCCGGGTGCCGGTCTGCATCCTCTGCCACACTGTGGGGACTAGAGTCAGCTCTCAAAGTCCATGCCTAGGCCCCGCCCATGCCTGCAAGGCCCCGCCCCACCGCCCACAGGCCCCTCCCACCTGAGCACTGCTATGGCATCCTCTACAGTGCGGGCCTCCAAGCTGCCCTCCTCCTGCGCCCGCCTGTTCAAATTCTCCTCCAGCGGCAGCTCCAGGTGGCTCTTGACCTTCTCCACTGGAATGGGGGGGGGGGGGGGAGAGCGATAGACAGGGACAGGATGTGAGCAGCTGAGGTTGGGGGTGCACCGCCCCCGGCCCCCCCACCACGCACCTGGCTCAGCCCGCTGCTCTCGGCGCAGGGAGTCCTCGATCTGCGCGCGGGTGACCTTTGTGGATGCCACGCGAGGGGCCTTGCCGCCCTTGAGCCGGGAGTCCTCCTCCTCCAGCAGGCGCTGTGTCTCCTTCTTGCGTTCCAGCTGCTCCAGGCGTCGCTTCTCCTTCTCCTCCTACGACAGTATGGGGTCACCACGGGGGGCTGTATCTATCTTGATGCCGCCTGAGGCACCCCGGGTGGGACCCAAGTGGGTGCTAATCCCTTCCTTTCGATCCCCCAGGGCGCTCTTGCAGCTAATGTGTTTCACAAGGGAACTCACTCCCTGAGCCTCTGCGCCAACCGCAGGCAGGAAAGCCTATCTGAGTTCACAGTCAAAGGTGTTTGGGGGAGTACTGGAGTCTGCCTCAGTTTCTCCCTAAGTCAGAGGCAGCAGCACCCTGCTCTCAGCCAGGCCCTGCCACTGTGCCTCTGGACAGCAACTGCCCACTGGGACTCCTCCACAAGTCCTGGTCTTGGGACCTCTTCTGTCCCGAGGGCAGAGAGCCTGGGCAGCGTTGTGTGCTGGTAGATCCTGCGCCCAAAGAAGGGACAGTTTCCAGAAAGTTCCAAGAGCCCAGGACCAGGGGGTCATCAGTACTGAGTGAGACACACAAAAAACTTCTGATCATGGTTTGATCCTGTAGTATCCCGAGCTGTGGGGGAAGCTGAGGCAGGAAGAATGGCTGGGCGCAAAGGGAGCTGGTACTGGACATCTCAGGGGCCCAGCAGGGTGAGGCCTGCGGAGGGGACTATGGGTCTCTGTTGCCCCCTAGTGGGCTGACCTGTCAGCATGCCAGAAACTGCTCCTCAAGCACCAAGTTGGCACCTGGGGCTCAAAGGTCAAGAATGGGACACAATTAAGGCTGGGGACAAAGGCAGGACCACTTCAGCTAGCTGCTGCGTCCACATCCCTCCTTGGTTACCTAGGGCTGACCCCAGGCCGCAGCGCCACCCACCTTACGCTGCTCCTTCCGCATCACGTGTTTGTCCTCATCCTTCCAGTAAGCATCTTCCAGCTCCTTCTGTTTCTTGGCATCAGCTGCCGCCTTGGCTTCAGCCCTCCGTGCTCGGGCAGCTGCCGACTTGCTGTTCTCGCCCTGGAACTTCTTGGGCATCCCTCAGCAGGCTGCAGGGAGGACACTGTTGAGAGGGTTGGACAGTGGCCAGTGCCCACCCATGACTTACAGACTACATGCAAAAACCATTTTAAAAATAGGGTCTCTGGGACTAGAGAGGTAGCTCAGAGGTTAAGAGCACTGGTTGCTCTTCCAGAGTCCTGAGTTCAATTCCCAGCAACCACATGGTAGCTGACAACCATCTGTAATGAGATCTGGTGCCCTCTTCTGGCCTGCGGGCAGAACACTGTATACATAATAAATAAATCTTTTTTAAAAAAAGCCAGGGTCGGCCGGGCGGTGGTGGCGCACGCCTTTAATCCCAGCACTTGGGAGACAGAGCCAGGCGGATCTCTGTGAGTTCGAGACCAGCCTGGTCTACAAGAGCTAGTTCCAGGATAGGCTCCAAAGCCACAGAGAAACCCTGTCTCAAAAAACCAAAAAAAAAAACAAAAAAAAAAAAACAAAAAAAGCCAGGGTCATGCAGGGCGGTGGTGGCACACGCCTTTAATCCCAGCACTGGGGAGGCAGAAGCAGGCGGATCTCTGTGAGTTCGAGGCCAGCCTGGTCTACAAGAGCTAGTTCCAGGACAGGAACCAAAAGCTACAGAGAAACCCTGTCTTGAAAATCCAAAATAGGGGCTGGAGAGTTGGCTCAGAGGGTAAGAGCATTGCCTGCTCTTCCAAAGGTCCTGAGTTCAATTCCCAGCAACCACATGGTGGCTCACAACCATCTATAATGAGGTCTGGTGCCCTCTTCTGGCCTGCAGGCATACACACAGACAGAATATCGTATACATAATAAATAAATAAATATTTAAAAAAAAAGAAAAAAGAAAATCCAAAATAATAATAATAATAATAAATAAAAAAGCCAGGGTCTCTCACTATGTAAAGCCAGGGTCTCTCACTATGTAACCCAGATTGGCCAGAAAACGTGATTCTCTCTAACCCTTGTCAGTTGCTGGGATGGCAACGGGGCATACATACCCCTCAAGCAGGCTTTCCTCTTACATTAGGATAGGTAACCCTCTGCCTACACAACCTAGGCAGGGGCTCCACCCTAAGCCACGCCCCCAGCCCCTCACTGGGGATCCTAGGCAGGGACACTATGGCTAGGTCTCTTCTGGGCCTTTTGAAATAACTTTTAAACTACAATTACAATGTTGTACAAAAACTACCATTGCCTCATCCAAAAGACCCCATTTCTATCAACAGTCACTTCTGTTCCCTGTCCCAGCCCCTGATCTACTTCATTTCCTGTCGACAGATTCTACACCACATGGCCTCTATCAGGCTGCATCACGCAGCAGGGCCCGTCACTGTGTCGTCGGAGGGTACTCTATGGCAGCACATGCTGTACCCAGTGCGTCTGATCCCCCTCCCGTGTGTGTCATCACTGTAGTGGAGCCCCGTACCCTGCAGAACCTCACACTGGACTCTACAGATGAATGGACACACACACACACACGCGCGCGCGCCTCGGGGAGGTACTGTACAGCAACCAGAACCTTAAATGCAGGGCTGGTCAGTCACCCCGGGGTAGGTAGACAAGCTGAGGAGTCTGGCCTCAGGTGAGGGAGGCTATGCTGCTGGGACTATCAGGATCACATCTCTTCCCGTCAGGAAGGATAGATCTGTGATCCAAACACTTGGGAGCTTGAGGCATGAAGGTCACCCATTTCAGGCCATCTTGGCTACACCAAACCAAAAAGCAATCATGGCCGAAATACCGCCACCCCAAAACCCACCTGCCCGAGGCTTGCAACATACAGGGCCTCAGATTTCCAGACTGCCTAGTGCCCTCATTCTCTACCTCCCCCACATCCCCTACTCAGTGCCACAATGAGTGACAGTGCTGTGGGGTCCAGGACACCCGGACATCAGCACCTCTCAGCCTCTCTGTGTGAAGTCCCCCTTTCTGGCCCTACTGGAACCCTGTACCTCCATAGCCATCCTATCATGAGAGGAGCACTCCCCGGGGCAGGAATGAGCGGTGGGAAAGAGAAGGCAGCAGGACTCGGGGCTCACAAAGCCCCATCCAGCTGTTGTGTGTGAGCACAGCTGGCTGTAGACACCATGTGGGCAGGGGTCCTGAGAGCTGGCCAGAGGTGGCCCAGGAGTGGAGGCTGTGACCTGGCTCCTAAGCACGGCCCTGCCTGCTTCAGACAGTCAGGATGTCAGTCATATTGGAACACAGTGCAATGTGTAGCCCAGCAGCTAAGATCCCCTCGCTTGTGGCCAAGGCACGCCCGTGTGTGCGCCTCAGTTTCCGCACACACTGCCATGGGGCAGGCATCAGAGCCTCTGCCTGCACAAGACACCCCAGCTGGACCCCACCGAGCCGGCAGAGAACGGTCAGTATGGGCTGGAGATGGCTCAGTGGTTAGAGCATTGCCTGCTCTTCCAAAGGTCCTGAGTTCAATTCCCAGCAACCACAACCACATGGTAGCTCACAACCATCTGTAATGAGGTCTGGTGCCCTCTTCTGGCCTGCAGGCATACATGCAGACAGAATATTGTATATATAATAAATAAATAAATAAATAAATATTTAAAAGAGAGAGAGAGAGAGAGAACGGTCAGCAGCAAAGCTCTGGGGCTCCCAGGAATCTCCTGGGCACCGCGGAAACTGAGGCACCCAGCTCCACTCCATGGAGTCTCTGAATCCTTTCCCCGTGGCAGCCACACCTGCCTGCGTTTGAGTCTTCAGACAGCAATCAGCCCTGTGCCATATGCCCTTCTGACACCTGGCCTGGAACTTTCCATCCTCCTGCCTCAGCAGTGCTGGGGTGACTGGATATGCAATGCAGCACATTGCCAGGCTAACCCAGTAAACGCCTACTGAACCTTCGGGCCAGGGTGGGCGTGGTGGCCCATGAAGAGGCAGAAGGATACCCGAGTTCCAGGCCAGCCTGCGGGTTTCACTCTCCCTCTCTCCCTCTCGATTACTGTATATTTATCATTTAACTAATCATTGTCCCCAACACGCTGGGCGCACAAAGGAGGCCATGTGCAAAGGGCCCTCACCAGGAACCAGATCAAGTCGGCACCACCACCTCGGTTTCCCGACCTAAACGAAAACGACCAGAAAAAATGTTCCCAGGCTGGGCATTACTGGCGCACGCATGTGACCACGCCACTTGGCAAAGCTGAGACAAGAGGACTACACCGAGTTCGAGGCAGCCTAGGCTACAAAATGAGCCCGGGGTCCAAATAAACCCTCTCAAAAAGTGCTCACGTAATTCCCCGTGAGTGCTGCCGAGCGGCAGGAAAAAAGGTCAGGGGAAACGCCTCCTCCTCCAGGAAGCCCTCCAGGCTCGGGCTGGGCCCGGGAACGGGCTCCGCTCCCCGCCACCTGCCGCGCCTGCGCGCGCGAGCGCCCCCCCCCCAGGCACCCCATCTCCGGTTCCGTCTTCCCGGCGGAAGGACCCCAGGCCGAGCCGCGCCTGCCCAGCGAGCCCCACAGCCCGGCTCCGCCTGCGCCGCTCCTACCTCTTCCCCCGGCACCGGCCCGGTCGCGTGTCTGTGACGTCACCGCGCCTGCGCACTCACTTATCGGTGGCGCGCCGCTCATGACGCTAGCTGATGCCGCCATCTTGGTAGAGGCTATACCAGCTAGTTTTCCTCTAAACCAAAGTTCTTAACCAATGTTGCCAACTTTTCTTCTTTTTTCCGAGCAAATTATGTTGCTAAATGTCATTTCATAGTCTCATTTCAGATATTGATGAACAAAGACAGACGACAAAGAGACAATCTATGACAATGACCTTATCAAGCTGGCCGCTGCCCGGAGAAAAGATGGCGGCGCCGGCGTCACATGGGTTCTATGAATGACATTCGTTGCCGGGCCGCCAGGGGGCGGCCGTGCCCACATGGGGCCGCGGCCTGGCCTTTCCCGGGCACTTTGCCAGGTCAGTCAGTGGCCACCCTGGCTCGGGACAAAAGAGAGAACAGCATTCTTTGTCACGCCCTGGTGGGAAAACTGAAGATCAGAGCGAGTAGAAATTTAATTAGACTAAAATGCAACCGATAAAAAAAAAAAAACACAAAGGGTAGCGCTCACCCGCCTTTAATCCCAGCACTCGGGAGGCAGAGGCAGGCGGATCTCTGTGAGTTCGAGGCCAGCCTGGTCTACAGAGCTAGTTCCAGGACAGGAACCAAAGTCACAGAGAAACCTTGTCTGGAAAATCCAAAATAAATAAATAAAATGAAATGAAATGCAGCCGACATAGCCAGGCGTAGTTTCCAGCGCAGTGGGGCCTGAAGCAGCCGGCGGGGATGCTGAGATAAATCACCCGGATAATAGACAAACCGCAGCGGCTCGGCTTCCTCCGTTGTCCCTGTTTCTTCTCTTCAGCTTCGCTCCCCGACTCCGCGGAGCTGTTCTCTGACACCTGTAACTTCATCCGTAACTAAGCTTATCCTAACCTGCCATAGTCAAATGTGCATCTGTCAGATTTACTGCCGCGTGGGTCACCCCGGGTCCCTGTGTGTCCAGATGGTGTTGTGCCTCCAAGGAGGTTTTCAGTGAGTCGTTCGCCATTCCCCGACGGCATCCTCGGCCCCGCTGCAGGGCCCTGGCTCCCCGCGGCCCCGCGGGGCTTCCTCCACCGCCTCCTCTCCCCAAACGCCAGGCCTGGTCCTGCCTGATTCCGCTTCCCCTGTGACTGTGATATCGGGAACCGGGGACCTGAGGCATTGGGGTGTTGTTTGGCATCCGGAAAGCGGGGAAGAGCAGGACCCATGTCCACACCCACTGTGGGGCTGGGGACTGGGGCACAGCCCCGCTGTTCCCTGAAGCAGCGCGAGGAACAACACTTCCAGAGAACTTGACTGTGGTGAAAGCCGGATGCTGCGTGGATGGAAAAGCACCTCGGGAGCTGCCTCAGGTACGGGGGCGCAGAGTGACTAAGATTGGCTCGGGAGCCAAGGCCCCCCGGGGCGCGGGCGTGGACTTTCAGGGAAGATCCGTGCTCCGGCAAGACACTTTCAAAGTTTTTAAAGTTCCATTTCCCTTGCGGTGCGCGTGTGGACTCCGGACCCCGGTGCAGGTGTGGCGTTCGTCCTCTCACCTCAGGGCTGCGGGTCAGAATGTGGCAAAGGCGGGAGCAGGAACCCCTGGGACTGTGCCCTTTCTGGAAATAGGAAAATTTCAGGTCTCCAGCCTGGGAGGAAGCATTGGAAACGGTTGGGGTTCCAGCTCAGCCAGATCCGCGGGTGAGGGTTTCCTCCCATCTCAGGGTCTCATGGTTTGCACCCCACCCTGCCTCGGGTTCAGGGCTCAGACACCAGATGGTATCTTCCAAGGAGACCCTGACCTCAGGTTCCTATTTTAGTTCTGAAAACAAATGGTGTAGACCAGGCCGGCCTGGAGCTCACAGAAATCTCCCTGCCTCTGCCTGGCAGGCAGGGATTAAAGGCGAGCGCCACCACACCTGGCCATGTTTGTTTATTTAGACGGAGGACTCTGTAGCCCAGTCTGGACTAGAACTCACTCTGTAGCCACGGAGCCCATCTGAGTGCACTACATCCTGAGATCTGGGATGGCAGGTGAAAGGAACCGGACTGTGCAGTCCGAGGTCATGGAAAGTGGGGAAAGACGCCGAACCCAACAGCCTGAGCTGGCCCCCCATCTCGGGGCATGCTGAGAAGGACCCAAAGGAAAAGAGACACAACTGTCAACCTGTAACACTGAAGTCGACTCTCTCCGGTGCCTCTCGGCAGTGATGGGATGGGGGATGGGCCCCTACAAGGAAGCCCCCTCTTGGCCAGGCCCTGCTCGCAGCACTTCTGTTGCCATGGAGACATCCACATTGAGTGGCATTCACAGAAGAAATCAGCCGAAGGATACCAGGTGTGGTGGCACACGTGCATTATGTCAGCCCTGGGGAGGCTGAGGCAGGAGAATTATCACAAGTCTGAGACCAGCCTGAGCTACACAGTAAGACAAGTCTCACAAAAGTGAGTGCTGGGGCTCAGTTAACAGTGCTTGCACAGACTAGGACTGAGCCATAAGCTGGATAGAAGGTGGCACCATCTGTCACCATAAGACACAGGAGGAAGGAGAATCAGGAGTTCAAAGCTGGCCTTGAATTTGAGGCCACAGTGGGCCACAGGAGAACCTGAGCCAAAAAGAGAAAGCCAGGTGGTGGTGGCGCACGCCTTTAACCCCAGCTCAGGAGGCAGAGGCAGGCGGATCTCTGTGAGTTTGAGGCCAGCCAAGGCGATAGAGGAAGAAAAACGATGAGGAAAACAAAAGAAAGAGCATAGAACAATCAGACAGTGCTGTCTCTGCCTCTCAAGCGATGGCAAAGGCAGGCAGGCCTCCTGTGACAGCAGCGTTTGGTGCCCCCAGAGAAACACAAACGTTTGTCCTGATAAAGCCATTGCCTGTGTTTGTTATTAAACTTCATAATTTTATCTAAATGGCAAAGTTCACATGTGACATTGATACGATGATAAATTTACAGTGTGTTTGGAGACAGAAACTCAAGCAGCTGGGGTGACCTCCTTGGGTCGATGTTGCGGCAGGATCTCCCTGTGCAGAGCAGGCTGGCCTCAAGTTAAGAGCCCTGAAGAAGGAAGTGGGCACAGTGCACCCCCATTATGTTAGGGATGGACCAGCGCTTCATGCATGCTAGGGAAACCCTCTACCGTTGCGCTGCAAGCTCTGCATGCACTGAGCCCCCGCACTCTGCCTGCTGGGCTGGTCACTTTCTCTGAAGTCTGTTTTGTGGTGAAGGTTAGAATGTCCCCAAACCCTGATGCTTCATCTGCCCGTGTGGAAGGTGACAGGAGTGGGGTTCATACCTGGCTCAGACTTGCTCATCCATTTTCAGTTAAGCTCAGGCCGATCAGGCAGCCAACAGGCTCACGTTCCTCCCACTGTCCATGTGGCATGTTGATGCTGCTAAACACAGAGACCCCTTGACAGAGCGTGGCCTTACACACATGGCTCCCGCGGGTCACAGCAAGGCTGCTGAGAAGCTGCCCTCACAGCCACGTCCTGCGAACAGACCCAGTTCTCACCACTGCTACTGCAGGAAGAGGAGGCCGGGGGACGGCTCCTCGAGAACCTTTCTACGCTCCTCCTGAAAGGTACATTTTCACACACTTGCGAAATTCGTCCTCAGAATCGGGCCTTAATCTTCCACACATGAAATGTTTCTGAGGTCACGGCACCCTGGCCAGCAAGCCCAGCCATCCACAGCCAGAGCAAACTGGTTATCTTCCCAGTCAGCAGGGGCCCAGAGGCCCTGGCTACACTGTGGAGGGGTGGGGGTGCCGGTAGGGCCCACCTAGGATCTCCCGAGGGGCTGGGGCCAGTTCTAGTTTCCTCCCAGTAGGGGACATAGAAGGAAAAAGAAGAAAATGGAGTCAATTCAGATAAAATGAATTCCAACATCCAAGTGAGTTTGTGGTAAAGGCAGAGAGACACTCTGAGTAGCTTTGTCCAGGCCCTCCTCACAGGGGCTGCCGGTAGACCCCGCCGTGTTGAGGGGTGTAAGAAGAGGCTCCCCTAAGAGCACTGGCTGCTCTTCCAGAGGTCCTGAGTTCAATTCCCAGCAACCACAGAGTGGCTGACAACCATCTGTACTGAGATCTGGTGCCCTCCTCTGGCATGCGGGCAAACATGGAGGCAGAATGTTGTATACACAATAAATAAATAAATCTTTTTTAAAAAAAAGAGTTACCTGCATTTGGGGCTGGAGAGATGGCTCAGTGGTTAAGAGCACCGGCTGCTCTTCCAAAGGTCCTGAGTTCAATTCCCAGCAACAATATGGTGGCTCACAACCATCTGTAATGAGATCTGGCACCCTCTTCCTGCGTGTGGGCATACACGGAGGCAGAATGTTGTATACATAATAAATAAATAAATCTTTAAAAAAAAAAAAGAAGAGGCTCCCCATTTCTTCTTTATTATTTTGTTGTTGTTGTTGGAATTCAGATAAAACCTAACAGGACTAATCATAGCTGCTGCTTTTCTTCTTTTGTTTAGAGGCAGGGTCTCTCAAGCCAGCCCAGTCTGGCCTGGAACTTGTGACAATCCCTCTGCCTCCACTTCTCCAGTGTTGAGATGACTGTGTGCACCAAGCCTGGTCTTGATTTTATTTTTGTTGCTTTATTTTTTTTTGTTTTCTGTTTTTGATTTTTCGAGGCAGGGTTTCTCTT